ATCTACATCACTATGGGGGAAGATTTGCATAACACCGCACAAATGTTCACGCAAAGAAAGAAGGCGTAACTTTTATTCTCGCTGTAGTATTGTTGCCGCCGCCGCCGCCATGTCGTGAAGACGCTGTGTGCTTCGTTGTGAAAGCGAAACTACTTTGTTTGGCCTTCCAAAAGAGGACGATATCGCTTTGTCATGCCTAGAGCTGATCCGTGCTGGTCGCTGAGGAAATACTTCAACCTCGTGCTGTCGATCGCTGGATCGGCTTTCACTGTGGACGAAGCGGAGTCCAGCCCGGGGCCGTCACATGTGGTTGCCGCAGGCATCACAATATGGTAAGGGACGTAACATTTCCGTCACACGCTTGAGGAATTCGGCCAATCACAACGCACTGGATAGCTGGCCAATCAGAGCACACCTAGCTTTTTCAGACCTATGAGTTTTGTAAAAATCGTTTCAGAAAGGCGGGGCATAGAGGAGAAACAATAATGTACAGTATGTGGAAAATAATGTTTTTTGAACCTTAAACCGCATAAACACATTTCATTACACCAAATACACAAAATAATGTTCTTTTTAGCAGCATCATATGACCCCTTTAACTAAAAAAATACACTTAGATTTTCTTTTTTTCCCCTTTTTTTTCAGCCTTTGGCTCCTCAGGTTTGTGATGCAGGAAAAAGTATGACCTACAAAAAAGTGCATTAAGCAACTAGCTACATATTTTCCTTTCAGTTTTGGACAATCAATCACCAGATATACATAAAAAATACAAATAATAACACTGAAGATTTTAATACTCTTGTGAAGCTTAAAAGGCAGAACACCAAGGTTGTTCTGTGGAACAATGTAACTTCTAGCATCTGCAGTACCATTCTTCTCATGACAAGAATGACAGAGATGTAAAGGAAATGAAAATAAATAGCCCCAGATTTAATTTGGGAAGAGGCAAGTTGCATTATTTATAATCTTTCTTTTTTTTTTAGTACTTAATGAATGTATTATAAAATTGTCTAACAAAGTGTATATCTTCTCTTCTGTTGGGTCATATTAATTTTGGTGCACAAAGAACGGTTAATCGTGCAAACCCACATTTCTAATTCTACATGATCTCCAATTAAGCAGCTCAAGACTAGGGCTTTGCCATAAGATCTAATAAGAGCCTCTATAGGGAATCCTTAGGAAGTGCAACCAAACTAATTACAAATGCTCAGATTTAAGTGGGCAATAATTGTATTTTTCTAAATGTCCCAGACAAAACTCTCTGCTCTTTTCAGGTCAAACCTGGAACGAACTGTCTGTTGTACAAAAATACTAACTTGTAATAAGCAATCTCAAACCATTAGTCATGAAAAAGTGACTTAATACAGATAGGACTACAATTACTATTTTTGGTATTAAAACAAGTAAACAAACATAAATATACAACTTTCAATCATTAAATCTAAATAAGTACACATGAGCTGATACAGGTGAGAAAGGAGAGAATGTCTGCACTGGCCCATTTGCACTGGCCCATTGTTATGGCACTTGTAAGCTTAGTTTTAAAACGTGTGTATTTGTGGACTGTTAATAAATGATCTTACTGGCTCAAAGAAATATAGATATACCACAAGCCCTGCACTCACAGACACTCTTCTTGTTCCTTAAGCAAGGGCAGAAGGGGCAGAGCTGTACCCACAAAAATGGACAATTAGCACCATGCTTGTCCATATTTAACTTTAATCTCTTAAAAGATAAACACAATCACCTCATACAGAACTCCCACTGTGACCCCATATGGACAGAGGACACAGGAGGCCTCAGACTGCTGCAATGTAACCTGCATGTTGTGATGAAAACAGTATTCTTTCAGGGTGGGGGTGGGGGGTATGATTTTTTTTGTCAATCCATAATCACCATCTCACTGGAATCTACATTTCCCCTTCAAATGTTTGCATTCATTGCCTTCATATATGTGTCTATTTCCATATCAGAGGCCTCTTGTTTTCTCTAACACCATTTTCTCTACCACACCATGCCAGCTACAAGGTCATTGTATGTACATCTGCAACCTTTGTCCTGACTACAGCTACTTAATATACAGGTACATGTTATTAAAAAAAAAAAAAACGAACAAAATATAAGAAAACCAAAGTGGGTTACATAATGTTGACCTTGAGAACAAAGTCTAAAATTCAGTGGATCTCCCTACAAATCAAGATTCTAGAGACAACTTTTTTACAGACTTGGGTACCTAGCGTTTCTTTATACACATTTAGATAGTAAAATATGTAAGACATCATTTTGTTAAATATTATTATCAAGGCCCAAAGGTTCAATATGTTAACCTGAAGAAGTGATGAAGACACATGGTAGTACCTGCTCATAGATAACGGCTTTTTTAAACAGAATTTCATGGTCCCTTCTTTCCTAGAATGCTACTTCAGGGCATATGGATAAAAGGTGCAGTTGTATATGACAAATGAGAATATTATAAAGTATAACAATCCAACGGGTTCATTTAATTTCTGCCATTAAATACACTCAGCGTATTTTCATATTCTTTGTATGTCTTTGTGAAAGTGCTCTTCTCTCTCATCAGTATCTCCATACAGGAGGTAGTCCTTGGAATGCCGTTAATGTGTAGAGGCACTTGGGGGAAGGAGTATCCCAACCTGTAAGGCTGCATCCACAGTGTCATAATTGCCTGTGTGGTAATTTCAACATCCAGGACTGAACAATATTTTCTTTTTTTCCTTCATTTTCAGGTTTAGGAAGCACCAGCTGCATCTTTTAAATCCAAAAGCAAAGTTGGATTGGAAGATTAGAGGTACCAAATTTTTCAATCTCCTAAAATTAGAGCATGAAAATGGGCGACAGAGAAAGGACAATAACCTTTGCAGGTTAGAAGGATAACCATATGGATTCTACAAGTGACTCAGATGATATCTACCTCTTATGACTTATTGTGAGACCTCACAGCACCAAACTGAACAGCTCTTCCAAACTGAAACTCAGGTTGTGCATTTCGCCACAAAAAAACAAGAGTAAGAGATCAGTGTGAGTGACTGTACATATCAAGAAGGAGGACCAAGCAGAAACAAGAAGAAAGAGATTGCAGGGCATCCTTCTCATCTGTGGATAAACCAGACTATCTTACAGTGAGCCTGTCCATCTTTGAGCTTGTCCATTATTACTGGTCTGAGCAAAAAAGAAAATAGAGGGCAGTGTATGGCATTTCAAGAGAGTTCCCTGTCAGTCTGTAAATATAAAAATCCGAACTCCTTCTGACTGTATTCACTGAGGTCAATAGTTCACCTTGGTGACTGGTCTTTCACGACCCCCACAATCCGCCAGCTGGTTGACAGAGCGCTTGCGGTTGTGTTTAAGTTTAGAGTCCTTGTCGAAGACTTCACCTGAGCGAAGCGCCGATACGAGATCATCAAACTCCCCCACCTCCTCTGACACACAGCCTCCGGTGCTTTTCTTTGCTCGTCTTTCTCGCTCCCGCTGGTCCTTCAGCTGGGATAGATAAATGAACAGAGATGTACATTTAAAATAGCCATGAAAATACAGAGTAGCAGCATCATAGTATTTTTAGTATAGCCTATATAAACACATATGATATTATTATTTCCTCTGTCCAATATAAAAAATTATTTGAAGTAGCTTTAAATCCAACTAAACATTTAATAGAGGTCAATCTTGAAAATGTCCTACAATAACAGCATCACAATGCAGAAGGGACCTAGCAGAGCTGTTTTGAGGTGATTCATGGTCTCATGAGTGATTACAGTGACCCCAGTGCATTTGGGGTCCTGCTACAAATTACTCCAAGGCCTGTCAACTTCACTTATGAAATGTTTTCCCTCAAGGTCCCTCAAACCTCAACATAAGATATACAGCACGAGTGAGAATTTGTTTGTTGAAATGCATTCACTTCATGTACATGACAAAGCTGTGCATTTTCTTCTCCTGATAATTATGATTTATTAGATAATGCATCGAGTGTACATTTATATGTAAACATTACAAAAATTACATTTTTGTTTTGAACACTGGCTTTGACACATCCAGTTTAGACAGCCTGTTGGAGTGTCTGCACAGCCTTTAAAAGGACCCCAGCATTAAGAATGACTAGATTTTTAACAAGGTTCTGAGTTGAGGATGTTAGAAATCGAGAGACAATGTCGTGAAGGATCTGAAAAATAATTTTTTTCCAAAGATGAAGGAATGGAAACTACTGGAAGTGACAGCAGGTCCATCACAAGGTGTAAATTAAAAGAATAATTTATGTAAATTCTGGTTTACAGATAATTGATACATTTTTCTATACACTGACATTAGCCATGCAGAACAGTGGTCATTTATTGACAAACTTTAAACGAAACACGGTCCTCTTTTCATGTAATAAATCCTTCAACAGCAATGTAAGTAAAGTTCAAGAAAACCAGATGTTAATGAATAGAGACCACAAAGACAGAACAACCTCCAAGCAAGTGTGAAATTATTCAAAAGTGTAACATTATCGGTGGATCCTGTAAGCATCTGTGTGTGTTCTGTGTGCATTTCTGTTTCAGGAAAAGATGTACCATGGCCTCCATGCGCATTCTCCTCTCTTCCTCCTGTTTGCGTCGCTGCATGTTCTCCAGGTCGTGTCGGGCCTCGCTGAACGACTGCAGGAAGATGTCAAATATTCCAAAAAACTCATCCGGTTGCATGCAACCTTCCTCCTCTCCAAAATGCCTCAGAGACTTAGAAAACTGGATTGAAGAGGAAAGAGAGGAGAGTGATAATGTAATAGGTCATGCCTGGTTTGATGACCATATGCCCTATGGACAAATATGAATCCTGTTCACTGTGAAAGCCCAGAAATCACAAACCCATCACTTGGGAAGTAAGCTTGCAATGATCTTTCAGAACCGATATGGTAGTCACTAGGGGTCTTTGTTTTGTTTTGGAACAAATATTCCAAAGATGTTTTGATCTCTACTTAAAAATGGACTGCTTGAACTACATAATCAAATTGTAGACAGATGCTGTGGCTGAACGTTTGTGGCAAACTAAATGTACATACGCAAAAAGTGCATCCACTTTTACTGTGGTTTGGCATACCAAGGTGCCAAAGGTCTTTGCTCCAAAAGCCATTTGAAGGTCTGTCTGCCAAGAGAGTATATACTGGGTCTTCGCCCACAGTAGATTTGCAATGGGGAACTCATTTGTCTCAATTCTAACTGGCATCTCTATCATTGTGATTCTGGCCAAGTTTTTTGTCTCAGTTCAATGGAGCAGCTAATTATCTCATAAGAGACACTATTCCATGTGAAGTCAAAACTGTTCTTTTTTTATTGTGAAACTGAAACAATAATTCTGCTTTCCAGCACTGAGCTTTAGCTTTTCATAGATCTCCCATTTTGAGGGCATATGCTGTCCTGCGACTATGGAAAGAATCTTAAAATCTCTTGTTAAAATCTCATCCTTTAGGTTGTGAGTGCCCCAACAACTACTGTACAAGCCATCAGAGGAGAGATCTGTCTCTTCAACATCTCAGTGTTGACAATTCTCTACCATTGTTCTCAGCCATAATGTTTCTGTTAATTTTGGCCCACCTCAGACGACAGAATCACGTACAGGAGATGGAATTCTGACCCATCGAGGACAGCAGGAAGAGGTAGATCTGTCTGGAAAGCACAGGAAGGCCTTTGTGTCCAAATAACTCATAGAGCTTCAAGGTCAGCCATTTCTTGTGAAGTCTCTCCAAACTTTTATGGCTTTACTAAGTAAATAATTTGGATAACGGTGGACTGGGTTAAATTGACGGTTCTGTTCTGGGGACTGGAGCTCGGATAAAGATTCTGTCAGTCCACCCAGTGACCAAAACATATCTCTACACACACTTTCCACCACCACAGAAAAGCCCACTAACACACTCACAAACACACATGGACAAATCCCAAATGTATTCCCTATGGCTTTCAGAATGGTTCTCTTTCATGTATTTGAGAGTTGGGGACATACCGCAGCGGGAGTGGAGTTGAGACCAAGCCACATTTCAAAAGAAATAAATCTCCCCAAACCCGTGAGTAAAAACCCTGAGAAATTTAGGATCGGCTGCTGGGATTCCTCGGGATGTTTAAGTCATCATGCCGAGCCAGGAAGGGTACACAAAGCCCTCTCTTTTCTCTCTGTCTTTTTCGTTCTTTCTCACTCACTCCCTATTCCTTCTTCCTTCTAAGATGTCAGGCTCCGGCCCATGCACAGGGTTGGCAGAGCTCAAAACGATAAAGAAGGGGGGACGGGAAGGCCTGCTGGGCTCCTCCAGAAAGGGCCTATCCTTCCATGATTCTCTAAAAAAGCCCAGCTCCACTCTACAACCCTCTACTGTGACCCACTCAAAGACCCTGTTCTACCCTTAACAATAACTCTAAGGTCATATTGGAGAAAACATTTTCAGCCTTAGGCACTGAGCCAGGCCTCTTGTTTTGCCAAGGAACCATTGTGCGATTTTATCTAGCTAAAATAAAACCTTTCTTTTGGAATGTGGGATGAAAATGAATGTGCCAATAGCTTTATTAGGTTGGGTATTTAAGGATGGAGGTTAAAAAGTAAGACTGATTTTGAGATTGATGATTGTGACTGAATAATTAAGTGAAGATGTTACCTTATCTTTGGCTTCAGCGAGTAGTTCCTCGAGTTCAGAGAAGCTGAAGCTAGCAACTGTGATGAAGTCACTGACCACTGGGACAAACTTGTCACCCCAGTCACATGCTCGGCTCTGCTGGTATCGTAACTCCTGATGTAAACAATAACATTTTGATTCAATCGGAATTTATCCTTTTTTGTTGCTCCTAATTAAATCTGACTACAGGTGTTTTTTTGTTTTTTTTACGGATAAACTTTCTAGGAAGTTGTAGGAACTGTAAGGTTTTGAAATTAGAATTTAATAGAATTTTTAAATTTTAATTTTATATTCTTTATATTCCTATACTCTTTTATATTCCTATTTTTCACTTTTTTTAGGACTAGTGTGACAAAGACCAAAGTGACATGTATTAGTTGTGTAACTGTAACTTCAATGTAGTTAGTTCATTAACGAGCAAATTGGTAATATTTTCTAACAAACTCCATCAACATTACACAAAATAGAACAAGTTTACATATCAAGGAATTATTTGGATACAAAAAAAAAAAAACGTGTACTGTTATCATGCCAAACATTTATTATAATGCAATGATTTTGGAGGTTTCACTGAATGCAACTATATTTATTGCAAGTGTCCAAACATAAGCATAAGTAAATTTGTGGGTGAACTATATTCACCCATTATCCACAAAAGTTGTTTGTATAAAGCTTCTTTACTAGCAGAAAAAAATCAGTAGCTGACAAACCTCTGTCAAAGAGTATTGCAACAGTGAAAAAAAAAAAGTAGTGCAAAAGAGAAAAAAAAAAAAGTATATATATATATATATATATATATATATATATAATAAAGGGGTATGTCAGTAATGTTTCAGGGTACCTCTGATGAGAATGCTTTAAGTTGGAGAAATAAATGATGGATGACTCACCGCCTCCAGAGCTTTCAGGCCGCTCCTAATGATGAACACTTCCTTCTCCAGCTCAGCCAGACTGTGAGAGTAAAAGTAAGACAACTGAGATACAAAACAGCCTAGGCCTATCAAAAACAATAGCACATACTATATTTATGCTCAACAGTATGCAGTGTGTGGCTCACTTGACTTTGGCAGCTTCTGGTATAGAGGCCAATTCCTGTTGAATATTGAGGATGTCAGGGTAATTTTTCTCAAAGATCATGATCAGGTAATGCAACATGGTGATGTTCCTGTAGAAAATGCATATAGAATTATTAATTTATTTCAAGTTTAAAGCAAAGAAATGAAAAACTGATTTACCAGTGTTATTAACCACATTTAGTGATTGTCATACCATAATGTAAGCTCAATATCATTCATCAACAAATAATTTTTTTAAACACTGAATGGATGCTTTGAATTTTTAAGAGATTTGATGCAATTTATGCTAATAAACTTATGTGGAAACAGAACTGCAATTATTTTATTAGAATAAAAAAAGAAAAAGAAAAACATATAATGCCTTGTGTGAACATTTTTAAGTGACAACTAGAATTTACAAAAAATAAATAAAGTTGACTGATTACACCAATTCTGTAAATTGCATTTAACATCTCAATGGTAGCAGTGGAAAGTCTAATAGATGCATTGACTGAAAACAGTGACATTAGATATGCATTCAGATGAACAAGCTAAACACCTCTTCATTGACCTCTGACCTGTCTATACTTGACTTGGTGTCTATTATCTTGTTGAGGCTGGACACTTTGAAACCATATGCGTTGCCCCTCTGTCCTTTGTTCATGAAGTTCCCGAATGCCAAAACCACTTCCAGAACCTGTGTCAGGTGTTTACTTCTCATCACCTCACGAGATGCACACAGAATAGCTAAAGATATAAGAAAAGATATCAAAGATATTACTGTAGCCTCCATGATGTCTACATAGTACTGACATATTTATTATCAGGCAATATGGACAACATGATCTTCTTTCACAGACCTAACTGGAATTTGTTGAATATTAAGTGTTTATAATTTCTGGATTAAGTATTCATAAGTTAGGTCATAAACAGGCTCAGCAGATTTATGCAGAATTCACCAAAGCTTTTATATATATATATATATTGGCTAATTTGATTGTGCTTTTAGCTACCAATAAGAGTGTAGTACCCTCAGCTCTGTTTTTTACCACACGTAATTCCATTGCACAGAATGTGCAGAAAATGTGGAAAAAGGCAGCAGATTCTGCCTGGGCCCAGTCATAAACTAATTTCTGATCAACTGAAAAATGGTAAAAAAAAAGTTTGCCAGAGGATAACATATTGAAACCAAATTATTCTGTATGAGGGACCAAAAGGCAATTGTAATCATTTCATGATCAACACAATTCACTATACAAGATCAGTACCCACAGTAATGTCAGCATGAATGAGCAAACAAATAATTTTGTTTTTGTTTTTTTTAAAATAATCTTTTCTCCCAGTTCCAGTTTACACAAATGAATTACACAGCCCAGTGTAAAACCCTACGTTTTCCAAAAAGTCCAAATTACTAAATAATACTGGTACTAAACTGATGTTTAACCTCACTATGTTTTTGTGAGTGTGGTGAACTAGTCTTAACTCCAGTTTTGCCTCACAGTTCCCATCATAGAGCCGCAGTACTGCAGTCGCTCCAGCGGGAACAAGAAAGAGTGTGCAACTTTGATGCCTGTCCACAATTTTACAGCTGCCAGTTTCCCACAAAAAGCGTTTTCCCGAAGGATCTTAGCCAAAGTTAGACTTCCTTTGCCTCGATGTTAAAACATTTAAAATGCCTTCCTGTTGACACGATTTAATGTGCAAGGGTGGGCCAGAGAAGTCCTTCATTTGCTTTGTCTGTGTTGATGGCACCCATTCTTTCTGCTCAATAAAGCTTAATTAGACACTGCTATCAATTTAGTGTCTTACTCCTTGTGCTTGGATTTATAACTGTAGACATGACATGGCATTGTCAAATTAGGGAAACTATGTCATATTAGCACCCTTAATGTTTACCTTTGTAATTGTTTTTCACCTTAGGTTGTGTAAATGAGTAATTAGTCAATATTAGAGATCAGAAATTTGAGGATATGCAAGGTGTTAGTGATCTTTTCAGCTATTTCAATTCCAGTCTGTTTTTCACACAAAGCTAATGTATGGCTATGTATCACATTATGGAAAAGAGCAGCATGAACAATCTTCAAAACATCTCCTGTGTTTCACAGAGGAAAATAAATCTTTTTTTTTTTTTTTTTTAAATGACATTAGGTAGATCAAATGATGACAGTACTGTATATTTGTTTTTGGTTGATCTGTCCCTTAAAGGGTAGCTAAGATCATCATTAATGTGCAGGGACAGGTCTTTAACCAGAATTTGGGCAGGCTTATGGTTATCTGAAGTACTATGCAAGAACATGCATGCCATGAGTCTTTCTTGTAAAAAAGCTTGAAACTCTGAAGAAAAAAGCAGCGTTTATGAGAACGACTCTCCCCTCTCAACATGTGCCAGCTTTCCAAAACAGCCTCCGTGGAAACTCTGTTCTTTATTTGAACTGGAGATAAATTCAAGTATAAAAGCCACACACACTCACAAACATACCTGACTCATGCTCTAATATCCACTTCTCCCAAATTACATTTATACAGCCGTTTCTGGCCTCTATCACTTCAATATGAGCCTGTGTTAATTTGCAAAGAAACACCTCCAGTAACATTCCTTCTAAACCTACCAACCTTCAACCTTTGGTTTTATTTCTGCTAGACGCTCTGCAAACTTCTTTTTGAAGAAAAGAGACTGGATCCTCTGTTGATAGTGGTCGATTCTGATAGAGAGAAAAAAGTCAAAATTATTCAATTGAAATTTTAGTCACTGGGTTGAATCTTACAAAATGCCACATTTCCTCCCAAAATAGACATAAAGACATATTAGTTATATTCCCGCCCCCCTGTAATTCTCATTATTCTCAAAGGCATTTTACTTCATTACGTTTAAAGATAAGGTTTAAAAATGCTGGAATATAATGATACATTTTTTTTTGCATTACAGTAATGAGAACAATTTTTTTCCCACATTACAGTAAGGATATATGGGAAGGGGTCAAATAAAGTAGTACAATTTTTATGACATTAAGAACCTCAAAGCAAAAAAAAAAAAAAAATGTTAGCACTTTATTTTACTTGTATGTACTTACTAAAATAACTATATACAGACCCTGAACCAAAACCTTCAACCTAACATTATTTCTAACCATATTAATTACAAGTAGTTATCTTCAATTACTCAGCATTTTCTTGTGTAAGAAACTTATTTTACCAAGTATGCAGACATAGCTGTGGGTGCTTAGCCAGTGCAAATAATTTTGTTTGGTTATTAGCTATTAGATATGCAAGTATGACTCTGTGCATTGTTGCTTTATAAAACGTAGATTTATGCAAGTATGCATGCTTGTCAAAGATGGCTGCATTCATGCTCTTGCGTAAAGTACGTTTCTGGCCTTATGATAAATGGTGACTTTGGGATTTCTAGATACCACAGATTTTTGCAGAGTCCTGTTTCTTTGGAGGTAAAATATAGTGGAGAAATGTAAATGACTGCCAATCCTGGTTTGTTGCCTGTTGTGTAATTAATGCAATTCAGTATTAAATCTTCTGATCGAGAACTTTCAATAGTATTATTCTTCACTCATCCAAAGTAGCTTTCTTTTTTTATTATTTCTGAAGTCATACATCATTGTGCTCATTTATCAAATGCATTTAATCTAAGATTCAATTATTTCGCAGTACCTGCTCATCTCAAACAGGAAGCGGTCAGCCCGGGCCATACGCTCAAGCTCATGTTTGTGTTCCTCCAGAAGGTCAATATCACTTTTCTCAGGAACAAACTTCAGCAGCTGTGAATGTACAATACATGTACCCATAGAGAGTGTTTACTCGTATATAATAAAAGTATTAATTAAAAACATTGTAGTTATATATTTCTTGATGAAGCCATTAGATAGCCCTCACCTGCTCTAACATGTCTTTAGCCAGCTCCTCCCTCTCATCCATCTCCAGAATGGCTCTCTTTATCTCTTCATTGCTCATTTTTAACCTATATGGACAGAAATGTTTTTTTTTAATTATGTAAAATGTTAATATTTAACATGTTATTAAGAAAGTAGAAACACCAGTAGTATGCCAAACCATTCTTTATGACACAAGACGTTAGGCATGGTCTTTGGTACAATCAATGTTCTCTCCCCTTAGCTCTGATCAATGAAAATCGGGCCACATCAAAGAACACAATCAAACTTTTCCTGGCTTCATTAAGTTTCTATGTGGCTCCTGGGCCACAGAATTGCATGAGATAGCCTGTTTCTCCCTTACGAGGGCACATTAATAAAATATATGTATGTATATATTTCCAGATAAATAATTTATAATAAACACTATTCCAATAGTCCATAAAAATAGTGTCAATTTTGATTTCAAGGGGACTTTAAGAACTAGTCTGACCAACTATAATTTAGGCAAGGGGTAATCGGTCTCTCCTTTCAGATTCAGATTATTTTTATGTGACTAAAATAAGTTGTGACCAGGTATTACATAATTAGCCAACAATTTTTTTTTTTTAAATGTTCACAAATTTTTACATTTTGGGCTTCATAAGAAGCGTAGCATCAGTTTTCCGGAATAACCGATAGGTTGACTTTAACACAATGCTAACAATGCTGACTCAGGACAAGTACATACTTGGAAAGCAGGATGACACAGTTTTGGGCCCTCCGTCCATCAATAACAGACAGCTCTTTGACTTTGCGTGAGCTCAGATAAAGGTCATCCATTGATCCTGTTTCTTTCTGCAGAAAAGGAGAAAATGGTTTGGATTCGTTTTCGAATTTTTAATTTACAGATAGCAAAAATCAATTGTGCTTTGGCTTGTATTTAGGCAAAGGTTGAAATTTTATTTATGAATCAACCAAAGCTTAGGACAATGAGTTAGGAGTTAGGACAATGATTTCATTGCTGTTTTGAATAAACAATGAACTATTTTTTTTGTCTTTCAAACCAGTTTTTCTAATCTGAATGAATCAGTAAAAATAAAACATACAAAATATTCCTAACTTTCTATATGTCTCTCAAAAGGCCAGTATTCAGAACAGTGTGTCAAAAATAATCATGCAGCTGAAACACCACAGATGCTTAAAAGAAGCTTGACTGTTTCACCGAGAACAGTCGTCTATTTATAGGTCCGGACCGTTTCCTGTGCTGCGAATGTTCGATGAGGTTATATGGGTCATGTAACTCCACATTGGTCCAAAGAAAGCACACTTCTTACACACCCCTGCAGCTCTCTCTGAGCAGTAACATGAAGAATGCGGGATAGGTGAAAGGTCATTACTTTCCACAACATGCCTCATCTACATTTTAGTCATCTGTGTATTAATGTTCAGTAATTAATTCAGTAAGTAGACACATTTGTGATAATTACAGTTATTCAGCCAATTACTGTTCTATCACAGTAGTTTAGCCGTTTAAAAAAAATAAAATAAACACACCAATTATTCACTCCAGGCATTTGAGAAGAAAGATAATTCTACTACTGCAAGATGAGGCTGGATGTGAAAACTAGATCTCTAAAATACTTAAAGGAACAGTTCCCTCAAAAATGAAAATTCCATTGTCATTTTAACCCCATGCTGCTCCAAACTTGCTCCTTTCCATACATCGAAATTATACCGTGATCAGGGGCTGTCAAGACTAATAAGGTATCACTATATCCTACCTAATATGTCATAACTGAATATAAGCAAACATATGTTTACAGTGCTTCTTTGTCATTTTTGGATATTGACAGTACCAGATTCCATTCATCATAATTTTACGGAAATTAGCTATATAACATTCTCCCTAACATCTCATTTTGTTTTGTCAAAGACACAAGTCACCTAGAGAACAACATGTGGGTGAGAAAACTATGACAGAATTTTAAATTGTGGATTAACTATTCTTTTAAGATTTTAGTTCAGACTTTTCCATCACCTGTCACATTCATTCAAATTTCCTTTGGTTACAGTGGCCAAAATAGTTGTAATAGACAGCATGCAATAAGACGGTGAATGTAGGATTGGAAATTGCCTGGGGCTTGGGGCAAAAATACAACCAAATTGTACAAAAATGCCCCCCAAATTCAAGACAAGGGGTCAAAAAGAATTTTTATTTATTTATTTTTTTTTAACATTATAGCCAATCCCACATATTTCTGTTGAGCTTGTAAATGCATTGGCCAATCTGAGGCTGAATTCTCCACTCTCTTGAATTCTCTCATCATAAACAAAAAAAGTTCAGATATTACGTTAGTAACAGAGATTCACGGTGCAGTGTAGACAGCTTCAGTGATTGTAACAGGAGCTTCTGCAAGTCTGCATAACTTGCACTAGACTGTCATTAAACACTTCAGTGATCATTCTTTATATGCTTACATTTCTGTATATAATTTATTCCCAGTTTGAATAACCATTCTGTTTATCATGCTATTAAAATATCCAATGTGAAGTCTTAATATTCTGCTGTGTAAAAAGCAATAAACTAATTCACAAATGGTTCAATGCTTGTTATGACTGTGTAGCCATAACATGACAGTTTCCTTAAACACAGAAACATTTTTATTCATTCTATTAATCAACATTAAAAATAATTATTACAATATCAAGAACAATATTTGACAATAGTGAGTTTGTCATATTGCAGCCCAACCCTGTAATTAGTTTTTTTTTGTTTTGTTTTTTTTGTTTTACAGCTTATACACTTCATGTAGGCTATTAGATTATGTAATTTTGTAAATACATGTACTCAGCTTTGAGAAGAATTAACAGTCTGTGTTAATAAATGTATTTTTACAGTTTTTGTTCCACCATTGCATGTATGGGTTTTTGTTGATGTTAATAAAATTGTATTGGTAACAGTCTATAGTATTCTGATTGATTGAATTAGTAAAATTTAAACATTTTACATAAAAGACAACACAGATAAAACATAGCAAATATTGCCGCTTAATAGAAACGTTCATTTCTGACCCCGTTCTGGCAGTAAAGTAGCTATAATTGGACCAATCACTCACCTGCTTGAAGGATTGATTAGTGAGCAGCTCCTGGCCAGGCAGTGGTACAGCAGCAGAGAAAAAAAACAAGAAACATTGGAAGACATGCAGAAGTTAACAACTCAAGCAGCAGAACTACAGCAGAAGACTCAGCCAGAGCTGACTACAGCAAACATTCTCACAGGCCCCAGAATCGCTTGCAAAACACTGAAGAAACTTTAAAAATTACATTTGAAATCACTGACTTTTGTTGACATTGGGCCTGAGAGCATATCTGCAGCATTTCTGCTCTAAATGCACTAACATACTACTTCATGCTTAAAGCACAGAAGCATCTATTACAAGCCATTTAGCAAAGAACAGTTGCTTTAGCCACTGCTGTAAAGCCTGAGGTTCCAAATACTCTCTCTCCCTCTTTCTCTCTCTGACATTACATAGACTTCTATTGTTTTTATATACAGATAGTTATACATTTTTAACCTAAACCCACCCCTACCCCTAACATTTCACAAACATAAATAAGAATATCAGTACAGCTGTTATTTCAGAACATCATTGCAGAAGTTATTTTAGAAATATCTAATATTGAATGCGAAAATTATTTGTTTGGTATTTAAGCACAGCTGAGATGTGACTCTTGTGTGCCACATTTGCATACTTGCTGCCTCTGGTAAGCTGAAAACATCTTCTCAATGTCCTTTAGGTCAAGAACTTTAAAGGCCCTTCTGTCATCAATCTCATACCAGATGGTACCAGTGATCTTGTTCTAAAAATCAGGAAATCAGGAAATATGACTACAATTAAGGGTTAGTCTCAGAAAATAAAAAAATAAAAAAATAAATGACCTAATCTCAGAAAGTATAACTTTGCATTAACTATGAGGAATTTTAATACAGCAAGTACCACCAAATAAATAAATAAATAAAATAAAAACTGACTCACCTCTCCCAGTTTGGACCAGTTAAAGGATTTTAGTGGTTGTGAAGGTTGTGGGATGCTCTTTGTGCGTAGGCTGGTTGTGGAGCTAATGGAAGCAGATCCAGGTGGAGGTGGAATTCCAGAAAAGATGGGCGGGGCCCCAGGTGGGGGTGGAGGACCCCCCGGGGGAGGTGGAGGAGGTGGTGGGGGTGGGCTGGAAAAATCAATAGGTGGAGGAGGAGTAGGGAAGTTATCCATCATCATAGGTGGTGGAGGCGGAGCCATCGGGCTCCCAGGAAGCGGAGGGGGAACGTGTAAATGAACACCATTCTTAAAGTGAAAAAGATCAAATAATTTGCATAAAATATGTTAGACAAAGTTTCTGCAATGTATAAACCATCACATATAACTCATGCTTAACCAAAACAGCTTATCCTCATCTCTTACTAAACAACACAATAAAAACATCAACATAGAAGTTCTAACATTATTGTGCAATTGTTCTACTTTCTGAGATCAAAGTAAATCATACAACTACAGCACACTAGAAATTAACAGATGGTGAACTCACTGAAATGTTGCTAATGTGGGAGGACAGGTCTAATACATGCTCCCTGGCAGAGCGCAACTCCACTCCTTCTTTCTGCAGTTTGTCCTTCATCTTGTTGAGTGTCTTCATCATATCATCCTTCTCTTGTGTCTTGGTCTCACACTCTCTTTCTTTCCTTTCCAGCCGAGCCATCAGCTCTACATGCTCTAAAAAACACATGTGCATTATCATTACATAAGTTCACCCAGGCTCAGCTATGCAAATCAGTGTGCACGCTTACCTTTTCTGAACTTTTCTGCTTGATCTCGCCACTGTTTGACTTCATTCTCATTGACAAGCCTGTATATGGAATGAAGTCTCATTAAGTTGAGCTCAACTGCACAGGGTTATAAAATTAATTTTGCCCTATTTTCTACACTTACCTCAGTCATTTTCTATTTATATTACTGTTTGTTATTTGTCAACTGTTACCAAAAACAAAAGCCAACATTAAAGACAGCATGAAAATGTCCTTTTTAGAATGTTAGCTTTTATGAGACCAAACAGATTGATGAATCTTCTTGTCCACAGAGGTGTATATAATTTTTATCCAATAGAATACTCTCCAGAATGTCCCTCTTAATTATAAATACTACCTTTTTTCAACTAGTAATAAGAAGTGCCAAATTATGGCTCATCAGTTTATTTTCGAAAACATCAACTGATTACAAAGCAAATGGGTAGAACTTATTCATTTTGAAGTAGCCTTCATTGGTCACATCCATGGTACAAGCTGTCAAGTATGGGTTTGCTATGTGGATTGTAGTCTGGCTGTGAAACAGACGCAACATACAAAAGAAAACTGGTCATCAAGCCAATCCATGGGGTCTTTAAACCAAAGGGGCCACTGTTAAACCGAAGCAATGACATTAAGTTGGGGAAGATTTCCTCAACATATTTATAACTTTTTTTAATAAAAGGTGTTAGTTTAGTCTGGTTGTGAATCGTTTTGTAAGTGGACACTGTTTGAGGTTTAAGGGAGGATCTAGTAAAGAAATCTAAAGTGACACCTTGACATGCGTTGCTTTCCATAGCTGCAGAAAGAGGGAAATGAAATACAGATACAGTAATATTTACTGCCAGCACTGGAGAAGACAATGAAATATATATATGAATAATAAGAAAACAGGAAAAGAGGATAAAGATGCAGTTTCCACACAAGCTGTTAACATACTGTAGAGGATTTATTGCACTATATTTAAGAAGACTTTTTATTTCAAAAACCAAGTTTGATTCGTTTGTAGGCAGACTTACATTATTGGGGTAAAACAATAAATTGCTTGCTACAAGCCAACACTGGAAATAAAAATTCCATTATTTTATCTGTTCGTTTGGACAACTTGCTCCTAAACTGGTTAAAGAAACATAATTGCCCAAGATGTCTTAAATGCAACCAGTATATTACAGCTCTGTTTCACTAAGGTATTTTTTTTGCAACTGGAAAGAATTAAACATTATGGGTAAGCATGAGCAGTTTTGCTAGTAGTAGGTTTCCCTGTGCTTACACATTCCAATGCCACCTTAAACATCTTCTGGTGGTGGCACACTGGTGGAAATAGAGCACATGGATGTCCATAAACGTTTATCTGGACTGTGTGTAGATGGAAGCGGGACAAGGAATACAAAAAGCAAATAAATAAGAGATGTGAAAATGTGAGGCAAGTAAATTGATAACCAGCAAATTTGAGGACAAAGAGATACTAAGAAAGGAGAAAACATGCCGAGAAAGCAGCAAAGAATGCTGGTACTGGTAAAATGACAGAATAGAGGTGTGGAAAGTTGGGGGAATGATAGTGAAAGCACAGCTGAGGTGATAAATGACCCAAGGAAAAAAATAAATAAGTGTTTTTTTTCCTGCCTAGAGAACTGTTGGACACCTGTGGTGAGCACATGGCTGGAAATTCAACATTCTTATGCACATTAATGACAGCAATACCAGTGTTTAGACTATAGAGTCTTGCATCTTCCTTTAAAATTTCACAAAATTGTTTGATACCAGTTTCCCTTTTGGCCACAGCTTCAATATGCATTCACAGCATTGTGGAGCATCTTCTAGCATATTAACAGTACCAGATCCCAGCAGTGTGCCACAATATAGCTTTGTGCAGTGGCGTGCACAGACCTCCGGAGGGGCAGGGGCGAAATGGCGTTACGAGGGTACAATCGCGGACCCGGAGCGGGTGGGGTGGTGGATGGGAGGAGGGGTGGTTGTATGGGTTTGTTCCCCCTCGGCTAGGGGTGGGCGATATGGCAAAAATATCACGATTTTTTTTTTTTATAGAAATATCACGATTCACGATTTTATCATTAAAAAGTAGGAATGGGGGGGGGGGTTTGTTCCCCCTTGGCTAGGGGTGGGCGATATGGCAAAAATATAATGTATTTTTTTTTATATCACGATTCATGATTTTATCCCGATTCTTTGTCATGTTGGTTTTTCTATTTTGCAAGCTGTTTGAGCATTACAGCCAAACTAATTTCCCTATTATAAAGACAAAGCCTTTCAAGATAACAAAATATGAACAAGTATGGTGGATATATAGGCCAAAGTGGGTGAAGATAAAAAAATCTTTGTCATTATTTTATCTTTGTTATTAAAAAATGAGAACAAAGATACACATTACAAATACACATCATATACAAATAAACTAAACAGTGTTTTATTTTCAGGTAGGCTACAATAGGTGTATTTAGCAGGAGCATTCAAAAAAATGTAATGAACAAATATAAAAATAAAACACTAAATACATTGATTCCTATTAAAGCAACTGTATTAAAGTTTTTCAGTCAAGAGTAGTGAGTGATTTTTCTAGTAGTGTTTGGTGTTTTATTAACATTAAAGGAATAATTCACCCAAAAATTTAAATAGGCTAGTGTTTTATTTTTATACCTTCATTTACTCACTCAAAAGTTGTTTTAAAC